AAGTCCCCTAATATAAGCAACTTACAGAATTTTAGAATCTTCAATAGCATTTAAAGTGTCAAGAAATAAATCAAACTCCTGAAATGACGTTTGCGGTGGCATGTACACTGAAAGAATAATTAGGCTCTGACCCTTGAGCAGCAGTTTGACACCTACAACATCAACATTGGGAATAATTTCATAAATAGCTGATAGATCTAATGATAGTGTTTTAAAACATGCTCGAACAGCAATTAAAACACCTCCACCGCGTGAAACTGCTAACACTCGAAAATTTCTATCTTTTCGAAAAACAGTGAAATAAGAGGGAAATAATTCACTATTGACAATATCGCTAGTAAGCCATGTTTCACTTAACACTATTACATCAAAATCATTCTGTGAACAAATAGTACACACTAACTTTAGATCGTAGTCCTCTCACATTCTGATAGAAGCAGCGAAGTGTATTAATTTTGTTGTTACTGGGTGTATTCTTCAGTTTAAAGAAACAATTTTCGGTAAACCCTTCACATATCGTATTTTCAGATCCTTTTCACCAGTTGCAATCCTAGCATCGAGTTGCTGTTTAAGCTGTTTATACGCTTCAATTTGCTTCGTAGTACGGTCAAAAGATAAAGAAATAGCACCGAAACTTGGATTACCCTTAAGCTTCTTGGCTTCACGGATAAACTTATGAACATCAGACTCATCACCAAAAGTGACCTTGATAGGTCTGGTTTTTGAATTGTGGGGCAAAAATCTTCCTAGTCTCTGCAATTTAAACTCAGGAACAGCAGGATCAGGTTTAATTGATTCCAGAACACTATTTACAGCAGATAGATCTAAATCCGCGCGTTGACTATTGTTGAGGGAACTAGACTGTTCCGGCACTCCAAAGATGATTAGGTTATTCTTGCGTTTTTCTCTCTCCATCACCTCAGCTACTATCTCCTCAAATTGGTTGTTAGGTTTGTTAATGAGTGATTATTTTAATGTTGCGACTTGATTCTCCAAATCGGCTCTCAATTGGTTAAGTGAAGCTAGAAAATCAGTCTGAATTGAATTGATTAATGCCTTGAAATCCTTGAATTGAGCCATATTTGCGTTACATAGATTACAAACAACCTTTATAGCTTTTGATTTTGAGCGTGTTCTTATGATGTCAGAGTCAGAAAGGCCAATACAAGAACTATGCAATAATCCCTGACATGCATCACACGTAATTGCGGATTCATTTATCACACATTTTTGCCTACAGTTGCGACAATTGTTGTTATTCATCGTATAATCAATGTGAAATAGGGAAAAGTGAATAAAAAAAATAAATAAATAAAAATAAACCAGGAAATGGTTAAGATATAAACAGGGATACAAATGGCACCCAAGGGCCTTTTAGGGTGACTAAAACATTCACAGGTAGGCCACGGGTAGAAAACAGTAGAGAACAGAGGATTAATAGTTTGTAATCAATTACTTCGGTAAAAGAAAACGTGCTGATAAAGCAAAATGGAATTTTGTGTTTGTATTGCTCTTGTTTGATCTTAGTATACTCATTGCTTCATCTTTATTATCATAGACAATTTTCAGGGGCCGTACAACGTTAGGTTTAGAAGATCCAAGTCTGAATACTTTTTTGGGTTGGGGAAAAGATCCCAGAGGATTCAATATGGTCATTACCTGATTCAAATCGTCACCTACTCTATCTTCCACTGACCGTGCCATAGACTCCGGAATATTAAATAATAGCACGCTTTTACTACGTTCTGTTCGTTCGTTAATTTCCGACACAACCTCATTAATTTTGCATGAAATGTCCTTTTTAGGGAATGAACCACGGAGTTGGTTAACCTCATCTTGGAGCTTGTTCACATTATCTTCAATAACCGAAATTCTACCATTAACTCCTTTGAATTATTCGTTGATAACTTGAGATAACTCATCTTTTAATTCCGATTTCAGCTTATTAAACTGCGTTTCGATAATCTGTTCAATAGCAGTGAGTGTTATGGGATTATCGGGTTTGCTGGGTGATGAGCATTTTATGCAAACCCATTGCAAACTCGGTGACAAATCCGTCGCATTTAAACCGGCACACTTAATGTGCCAATACTTTTTGCATTAAGTACATTTAATTGATGGTGTAGTAGGCGTCACTGCAGCATCACAAAATCCACAACTAGGCGGCATTTTCTTAAATCAACCAGATAAATTTAAATACGAGAACGAGAAAATATAAATACAAATAAATTAACTAAATATGGAAAAAAGGATACAAACAGGGACACACTTCTTCGCACCAGTAGGGTCGATTACGGTGACTAACAATAACCAACAGGTCAAACCACGGAAAGGCAGAAAAATTAGTTCAACAACAGGTATTCGGACAAAAACGCAATTATAAGTTCATAAAGTAGGATATTAAGAACGAGACTAAAAACTCACAGATAAGGTTATTCTTCCACAGAATTTGACATCAGAATTCTCTAATTCTCAGCAATATCAGACTTTAGACTCACCAGATTCACAGTCCTAACTCCGTTTTCCATCTACACTAACACAGCCAATTTTCAAAAAATTCCAGTGAGTATATCTCCGACAATTCAAGTAAACACCGGGAACCGGAAAAACACGTGCCAAACTATAATTGTTATTGTGGTAAGTGTCAAATTTACATTAAATGTGTTCATTTAATGTAAATTTGTGATCAAAGATTACGCCTAGATCTTTAATTACGGATTGCCTATTAAGTACAACATTATCTACACAATAAGGAAAAGAAATAATACTGAATAGAATATATTTTTAAAAAAATCTTTAAATCGTTTGCAAATAAAAGTTTTTGGGTTGTAATGACGTCAACTATGTCATTGATAAATAATACAAACAATAGTGGTCCAAGATTAGAGCCTTGTGGTAATCCAGACTGTATGACCTAGAAACGTAATTTTTATACCTAACACACTGTTCTCTATCAAGCAAATAAGACTTGAATAAATTAATAAGAGGTGTTGAAAAACCATATCATTCCAACTTATTTAAAAGTACGAGATGATCAATTTGATCAAAGGCTTTACGGAAATCGGTATATATAACATCTACCTGATTGTTCTTATCAATCTTCGGCCATATACTGACTGAAGCAGGTCAAGTTGGTTACAGTCGAACATTTTTGCATAAAGCCATGCTGATAGGGCGAGATGGTGCGTTTAAGTTCTTCGTAAATATGTTGAAATAGTACGGTTTCAAATATTTTTGCAAAGTTGCATAATAACGAGATGGGACGGTAATTTTGTTGGAGCCCTGTGGAACTCCTGAGGATTGAATGAAAGAATTAGAGTAGAAGTTTTGATATTTAACCATAAACATTCTATTGTCTAAATAAGAGAAGAACAACTTAATTAACGAGTTCGAAAAGCCCAAGTTCCTTAATTTCTCAAAGAGTAACCCATGGTCAATCATCAAAAGCTTTGGTGAAGTTTTTTTGTTGGACGGGGGAAATTAAGTGTTTAGTCGAATTGTAAATATCATTGTTTAAAAAATCTTTGCGAAATTACATAGCAAGGCAATTCCTCTATAATTAGAGATGTCATTTTGCCGATCGTTTTTGAAACTGGAACTAAAGTAAGCCTTTTTCCATAATATTGGGAATATTCCGTTTTTTAAAATAAGGTTAAAAATGATACACAAAGGATGTGCAAGAACTGCAGGACAGTTCCGGAGTATAAAAGAAGGAATGCCTTCAACTCCCATTGTAAAAGAATCTTTCGATCTTTTTAATGCCTTTGCAACCATTTGAGAACTTATGTTGGTATTTGATCGCATAGATGCGGAAAAAAGTTCAAATTAAAGTGAATCTGTTGCCAAATATTACAAGTTTGAGTTTATGCCTGCTTTTTAAATTAGTTTCATTTTGTTACGTATATTCATTAAATATGTATTAATACTTGAGGCAAATAATCGATTACATTTTGAAAAACTCCCTCAGCAACAACATCAACAAAGTCGAAATTAAGAACAGCATTCCCGAACTAAATTATTCCGTAGTTTATTTATTCGTACCGGGTTCTCTGCTTTCATTTGGTCGAAGAATATTGCTGACGATTTCTTTGTTCCTCACAGACTCCTCAACAAATTCCTTAGCGATCAAACTAGTTAATCTTCAGTGTCATGAATTTTTATACTTGACATTTCAGGACATCAATATGCCCTACAAATACTAAATATCAAAGCAACCAAGGAAAATTAGCAAATTAGTTTATCAAACTACCATACTAAAATGTGGTAATCAACCATAACGTGAAGTAGTTATCACGAAATTAACATCCATTCTTTTGATCAAGCTTTCTCTTTCGCCATTCCATAGCCTTCGTCTTGCTTTCTTAAGAAGGTATGCCGCTTAGAAAAATGACTATGGCATAACGACAATTGTAAATGCAGCACTGTGAAATCAAATTTTATAATTTATTTAAGAAAATGGATTTATTTGACAGTGTTTCAAGGGAAGGGATGTTTGGTCTAACCTTAGCTGGTGGTGTTCACATTTCAATTTTATGTGTCCAGATTGTGATGTATAAATCTGAGCCATAACGGTATCTATTTAGTACTTAAAAAACAATATAAATAAGCAACATCTATTAAGTAACTGATATTTTACCGGAATTTCCCAGACAGAAAAAATTGATAAGATAATCGCCGTTATCACATCTTCCAAATGTTAATTAGGTACTATATAAGGACGTTGTAAAGTAGTTCGGCCACTCTATTAGAGTTGCTAAAAATATCCAATGTCAACTACTAAACTGTTGCTGTTCATAACTGTGTAACATTCTTCCTTCAAAACCATGAACGAACTAGTTATTGGTATCGATCTAGGTACCACAAACACTTGTGTTGCCTGTTATCAGAACGGTGTGGTGGAAATTTTGTAAAATTTCGAAGGAGAAAGACTTACACCGTCTTGTGTATTTTTCCTGAAAAAATCTGAATCGCTACCACTCGTTGGTCAGCATGCAAAGACTATGACACACATGTTGCCACCTAATGGAATTTATGGTAAAATTTCAATGCGTGTTTTTTGGTAGTATTTAAAATTTTCTATTTTAGGAATTAAACGATTCGTTGGTAAACATTTCAAGACCATAGAAGAGATTTTGAAGTATCTTTCGTTCGACGTTGAAAACAGGTCAGACCGTCCTGTGATTAAAATCGAACGAGACAACGGCACGCTGGAACTAAGTCCTCAACAAATTAGTTCATTAATTTTGAAAAAAATAAAAACAGACGTGGAGGCTAAATTGGGCGACAAAGTTGACAAAGCTGTCATCGCCATTCCAGCTTATTTTAATACAACTCAACGAGAAAAAACTTTGAAAGCGGCCAACGAAGTTGGCTTTACTGTTTTGAAGCTATTTAACGGATCGACGGCGGCAGCCTTGAGTTATTATTTTAAAAACGACGACGAGACTGAATGCTATGCGTTAGTTTATGACTTAGGTGGTGGCACTTTTGACGTATCCATATTAAAACGAACTGCAACCAATATCGACGTTATATGCGTGGATGGAGACACTCAACTGGGAGGAAAAGATTTTGATAATCTTATCGTTGACTACGTTTGTGAAAAAACAAAGCAACATGATTGGAATCCTAAGGAAGACAGGACTAAAATGCACAGACTGCAAAATATTTGTGAAAATGCCAAAATTACTCTGTCTCTGGACAAAGAAACCAGTATTAGTTTGGAAGAATTTATGACAAACGACGAAACGATAGAAATAGAACTGCGGAGAGACGAATTTGTTCTAAGAGCAAAACATCTAATTGAAAGAACAATAAACATTGTTGATAGGTGTCTTAAAAATTCTAAAATTCCAAAAGACCAAATTGACCATGTTATTTTATCGGGTGGTTCCAGTCGGATACCGAAAATTCAGGAAGAGTTATCTAAATATTTTGACGGAAAAACTCTCAGCGAGTTTACTAACCTTGAAGAGTGTGTTGCAGAAGGAGCTGCTCTTCAGGCGGCCATGCTAGCCAACAACAATACGCAAAAAATCAACAAATTGGTGATGACCGATGTAGTTCCTTTGTCCCTTGGAGTGGAGCTTTGTGCTGACAGAATGCATTTTGTTATAAAAAAAGGCGCTCCTATACCTACAAGCAACTCCATCAATGTTTCAACTACAAGAGATCAGCAGAAAACAGTACCTTTCAAAATATTCGAAGGTGAGCGTTTAAATGTAAAGAAAAACCACTATTTGGGCTCGCTATTGTTAGAAAATATTACTCCGGCACCTCCAGGAGAATGTAAAATTTAAATAACGTTCACTATAGACCACAACGGTGTATTGGGAGTTAAAGCAAAAGAGGAAATGCGCAACAACATGAAGGAATTAACTGTTGAATATACAAGAGGAGGGCGGAGCGATGGTGAAATCAAAGATGTCATTATCGACGCTGAAAAGAATAAAGAAGAAGATGAATTATTTGACGTATTTTCCAAACGAAAATTGTATTTATTAGAGTACTGCGAAGCTGTTAAATACAATTTGCGCATTTTAAACTTAATCGGAAAATATCAGGACATTTACGCTTTGTGTAAGGAGGTCCAAACAAGATGTGAAGACATCGATGTCGATAACAGTGGCGAATTAGACACCCTCATTGACAAAACTAAGCGTCGATGTGCAACCTGTAGTAAGTTTCGTAAGTTTAAGGGCATGCCCGTACCTTCATAACTTTACTGTATTGTATTTACGCTATCTACTTTTTTGTTTACCTAATATTTTCGTCTGTAAGAAATATCAGATTGTTTTTCAGAAATAAACAAAGTAAATCATTTTACCAACATATTTAATCCGTAAAGAACACCCAAAAAATTTGACACTTAGGCTAACAAGAAGTGTATCGCACCTTCAGGACGATTTGTTAAAGATCATTTAAAATCCCTTTGGTTTTTGACAATTCGTGGAAGGACAAAGTAAATGAGGGGATCATTCCTTCCGGTATAATTACAGAAGTACCTGTGGACAGTTTATGATTGTTTATGTACGATACCAAGCAGCCGTTACCAAATCGACAAAGAGAAGAGAAAACCTTTATATTTGATTTCAACAAAAAGGCAGTGTTGGTGTCTTAATTTGAAAAAATTGGTCTAAAGAGTTTAGACAGTACTTCCCTCGCTGTCGGAAACTTTTCGACTGCATGCCTATTGTGTTGTAATACTAAGAATAAAATTATTGTATTCCCAAATTTTCGGGAAAATGAATTGGGTCGTTTTGAATATTGATTTCTTATAATCAATAAAATAACGAAACAATTTACTCACGTATACGGCGCCGGTGTGTAATATCTAGAGAGCGGATTTCTGTCGGGCTAGGCAAGGCCAAACTCGGTACGGCTCGTACGGGATGCGAATTCATTGCGGTTGCGGACTGCACTTCGTTTATTTGAGATTAGAATAACGCTGTTTCGTTGCACTCTGCTGTTAATTCCCGTTCTCATTTACTTAGCCGTTTGATCAATAAATCGTTAATTATATTTATGGAATTAGTACCGATTAAATTCAGTGATTATCTATCACCCGGCGATCCAGCGCGTCCCCACCTATAATCGTGACGTAGCCCGACAGAAATCCGCTGTCTAGTAATATGAGGGGCAACTGAAAATCGTTTATGTATAAACATTCTTAATTTAAGATGACAAGCGTAACAGCATACGTGAGAGTCAAACAGAGAAACTGTAAACAAAACGACCATCGGTTTTATTGCTTCGACTTCCGCGTATTATATAAAACATTGGGTTTTATTTTAATTCTTGACGGTGAAATTCACAACTGGTTGATTATAAACATGTCTATTCCACATTCGCGGAACCAAGTGAGCGCATAAAACAAATGCAGGTCTGTAATGTTAAAGTCGATGTAAATAAGCGTGCTACTCTTATGTTTCAACCGAGTTTTTCCTTTAACAAATTTTGTGTCTACCAAATTGGGTTGGTTGGGGTGTAATACTAATAATAAATGTTGCTTTTAATTTAATCAATAAAATAAATTGACTTCATTAATTTTTTTGAACCACCTCTTAAGAAAATCTAAAAAATATGAATGAAATGATAAATCACAAGTACAAACTCATCATATTTTTTGCATTTTAGATAGGATTTATTCAGCAAAATTTAAGGGTGACGTCATCAATTTTTTTAGAAGGGATGAACAAATACATTTTGAACAAAAGTTTACCATGCTTATAATAACTTTAAAATATTCCCAAGATTTCAAAGCATTCGGTTTTGTAATTCCTGATTAAATCGATAAAATAAATTCACGCATTCATTAATTTTTTTGAGTCACCCTGCATATGCAAATCCAAAAATATGAATGGAATGATAAATCACAAGTACAGACTCATCATATTTTGTACATTTTAGATACGATTTATTCGGCAAACTTTTGAGCTGACGTCATCAGTTTTTTGTAGAAGATAACCAAATATATTTTGACTAAAAATTTATTATGCTCTTTATAACCTTAAAACATCTGCAAGATTTCAAAGCATTCGGTTTTGTAGTTCCTGACTAAATCAATAAAATAAATTTACGCATTCATTAATTTTTTTGAGTCACCCTGTATATGCAAATCGAAGAAATTTGAATGAAATGATAAATGACAAGAAGAGACTCACCATATTTTGTACATTTTAGATAGGATTTATTCAGCAAAATTTTGTGGTGACGTCATAAATTTTTTAGGGGGGACGACCAAATACATTTTGATCAAAAATTTACCATGCTTATGATAATTTTAAAATATCTTCAAGATTTCGAAGCATTCGGTTTTGTAGTTTCTGAGTAAATCAGTAAAATAAATTTACGCATTCATTAATTTTTTTGAGTCACCCTGTATATGCAAATCCAAAAAATATGAATGGAGTGATAGATCACAAGTACAGACTCATCATATTTTGTACATTTTAGATATGATTTATTCCACAAACTTTTGAGCTGACGTCATCAAGTTTTTGGAGGGGACAAGCAAATATTTTTTGACTAAAGATTTATGATGCTCTTTATAGCCTTAAAACATCTGCAACATTTCAAAGCATTCTGGTTAGCAGATTAAAAATTAAATTTCAAAATGTTGTTTTATAATTTTGATTTTTTTTCCAAAAATCTGGACGTTTCGGGTGAAAAGTCGATTCGGAGTTGTAAACTACATGTGTAGGACTATGTTATTTTATACAATTGAAAACCCATTTACTATGTAGAATTTTGAAGTGACGTCATCGCATTAGTGGTGGGGATGATTAGACAAATTTTGGTTAGCGTTTTACCATCTACATGATATTCTTAATGTAAGTACAAAATTTCACAACAATCGGTCGAGTACTTTCGGAGATTATCTGTCTAATAAAAATCCGGGACGGCAGACGGACAGACGGACAGACGGACGGACAGACGGACGGACAGACGGACAGACAGACGGAAATGGGAGACCTATTTCTTCGTCTTCTAGGGGTCATGAAAGATCGAGAAAACGTAAAAGTAGAGAGTCGGCCGACGGACTCGATTACAATACTTCCTTTGCTTACGCTCGGGAAGTAAAAAGTAGAAATTTTGTGGTAATGTCAACTATGCCCGAAATCATGAATGCAATCCCAATGAAAGAAACATTCATAATAATTAATTCTGGATTATAACACGATGAAAGTTGGTGTGGATTCTTCAGATCAGAAACTTCACAAATATTCAAATAAAAGAAAAATATTTCGATGCCTTCTAGCTTTTTCTTGAATATGTTAAATATAGCAGGTGCGGCGGCTGATGTGATTTGGAAAAACTTACATCTCAAATGGAATTCACAAAAATATCAGCAACGGGCCCTTTTTCTGATAGATGTCAGAAAAATTAATGATACTTCACATAACGCGGAGAAAAATTAATAAAATAAATTCATTGCTGAACCTGAAAAGCTATTAACCAGTTTTTAGATAATGAAGAACTAACACCCATAAGAGTCCGGAATGTTGAATCAGTGGTCAAGCGGAGGTGTCACATATGTCCAAAAACGCGAGACCGTAAGCAAAAGCAAGTTTTGGACAAAATGTATGCAACGAACATATTTTAAATGTTCGCCAAAACTGTTTGTAACGTAAATTTTTATCGTACTTTTAAAAATTCCAAATAAATTATTTTAAATAAAGTATAATCTTTAATGAATGCTTTCAATAACTTTTCTTAATGAACACAATGAGTATGCTCAACAAGTGGAGCAAAAAATTCTTTAAAAATAAGTAAATAATTTAAACAGCGATTATGCATAACATAACTCCGGCACAACTTGACTGGACTCTGTCTTCGCTCCACTCGAGTCGTTAACTGAATGAATGTACTCCCGAAGGTGGCCTTCATTTAAAGTCATACATTCCTCTGTATGGATCGCGAACGCCCCCACATACTAGAAAAGGCTGAATAAACCCATAGGCGTCGTACCGGGGCGGCGCATGGGTTTATTTGGTAACAATATAAATAAATAAAACGGCGGGGTCCGTTGAATCACGACTGCTAGATTGCGTTTGAAATCTAACTTCCCTCTTAATTAGACAGAGAGTCGGAAATGGAAAGTATACATTTTCGCCTTCCACGAATTGTAAAAGACTAAAAAAACATGAAATTGTTAATTTGTTAAAACATTTCAATACAGTTGCTGCTCAGGGAGTTTCAATGGTCTTTAATAAATCATCCATAAGATGAGATACATTTCTTATTAACCTAAGCGTCTATGTCACATACGGATTAAAAATGTTTGGTTGTCTTTTACTGATTGAAAATATTGATGAAATAACGAACATTAATTTCTCATTCACTTTGTTTATTTCTACAAAACAATCTGATATTTCTTACAAGCGAAAATATTAGGTGACCAAAAAGTAGATAAAGTAAATACAATACAGAAACGTTATGGAGATGCGGGCATGCCTTTAAAATTAGGAAATTCAACACATCTTTCACACCGATTCTTAGTTTTGTTAATGAGATTATTTAATTCGCGTTTGTTATCAACATCTATGCTTTCACATCTTGCTTGGACGTCCCTACACCAATTGTAAATGTCCTGATACATCTCCATAGAGTTTAAAACGCGCAAATTGTATTTAACAGCTTCGCAGTACTCTAGTAAATACAATTTTCGTTTTGAGAATACGTCAAACAATTCATCTTCTTCTTTGTTCTTTTCAGCGTCGATAATGGCATCTTTGATTTCACCATCGCTCCGGCCTCCTCTTGTATATTCAACAGTTAATTCCTTTATGTTGTTGTGCATTTCCTCTTTTGCTTTAACTCCCAATACACCGTTGTGGTCTATAGTGAACGTTATTAAAATCTTACATTCTCCTGGAGGTGCCGGAGTAATATTTTCTAACAGGAGCGAGCCTAAATAGTGGTTTTTCTTTACATTTAAACGCTCACCTTCAAATATTTTGAAAGGTGCTGTTTTTTGCTGATCTTTTGTGGTTGAAACACTTATGGAGTTACCTGTAGGTATAGGGGTGCCTTTTTTTATAACAAAATGCATTCTGTCAGCACAAAGCTCTACTCCAAGGGACAAAGGAACTACATCGGTCGTGATCAGTTTCTTGATTTTTTGCATGTTGTTGTTGGCTAACATGGCCGCCTGAAGAGCAGCTCCTTCTGCAACACATTCGTCGAGGTTAATAAACTTGTTGAGAGTTTTACCGTCAAAATATTTAGTTAACTCTTGTTGAATTTTCGGTATCCGACTGGAACCACCCGACAACATCACATGCTTAATTCGGTCTTTTGGAATTTTAGAATTTTTAAGACACCTGTCAACAATGTTTATTGTTCTTTCAATTAAATTTTTTGCTTTCAGTTCAAATTCGCCCCTTTCCAGTTCTATTTCTACCATTTCGTGGTTCTTTATGAATCCTTCCAAAGTAATACTTGTTTCTTCGGCCTGAGAAAGATCAATTTTCGCATCTTCACAAATATTTTGCAGTCTGCGCATTTTTCTCCTGTCTTCCTTGGGATTCCAGTCATATTCCTTTGTTTTTTCACAAACATAGTCAACGATAAGATTATCAAAATCTTTTCCTCCCAGTTCTGTGTCTCCATCCACGCATATAACGTCGATACTGGTTGCAGTTCGTTTTAGTACGGATACGTCAAAAGTGCCCCCACCTAAGTCATAAACCAATGCATAGCAGTTAGTCTCGTCGTCTTTTTTAAAATAATAACTCAAAGCTGCCGCCGTCGGTTCGTTAAACAGCTTCAAAACAGTAAAGCCAGCTGCGTTGGCCGCTTTCAAAGTTTTTCCTCGTTGAGTTGAGTTAAAATAAGCTGGAATTGTGATGACAGCTTTGTCGACTTTGTGTCCCAATTTATCCTCCACGTCTGTTTTAATTTTCTTCAAAATTAACGAACTAATTTGGTGAGGAGTTAGTTCCAGTGTGGCGTCGTCGCGTTCGATTTTAATCACAGGACGGTCAGACCTGTTTTCAACGTTGAACGAAAAATACTGCAAAGTTTCTTCTACGGCCTTGAAACGTTTACCAACGAATCGTTTAATTTCTAAAATAGAAAATTTTAAGTACTACTAAAACCACGCATTGAAATTTTACCATAAATTCCGTTAGGTGGCAACATGTCTGCCATTCTCTTTGCATGCTGACCAACGATTGGTGGTGAGTCAGATTTTTTCAGAAAAAATACACACGACGGTGTGAGTCTTCCTCCTTCGGAATTTTCCAAAATTTCCACCGAACCGTTCTGATAACAGGCAACACAAGTGTTTGTGGTACCTAGATCGATACCAATAACTAGTTCATTCATCGCTCTGAAAGAAGAAGGTTACACATTAATGAACAGCAACAGTTTAGTAGTTGATATTGGATATTTACTAGTTCTGTTAAAGAGGCTGAAATACTAGACAATGTACTTATATCACGTAATTAGCTTTTGGACGATTTGATAACGGCAGTTATCTAATCAATTCTTTGCGTCTGGGGAATTCCGGTATCGCTATAAAGTATCAGTTAATAGATGTTGTTTGTTTATATTCTATTTTAATGTATTAAACTGATACCGTTATGGCCCAGATTTATACATCTCGAAACATAAAATTCAAATGTGGACACCACCAGATAAGGTTTGAAACAAACGTCTCGTCCCCCTAAAATACAGTCAAATAAATCCAGTTTCTTAAATAAGTTATAAAATTTGATTTCACCATGGTGTATTTACATATCTTGTTATGCCATAATCATCTTTCTAAGCTGCATGCCCAAGTTTGATCAAAAGAATGGGTGTTAGTTTGGTATTAGATGCTCCACTACTTCGCGTTACAGGATCACTACCACATTTTAATATTTTTGTAAGATGAATTAAGTGAATTATGCCGAGCTCCTGTATTGGAGAACGGGTTTTGGTAGATTATTCCACAACATATTTCAAAATGGTTACCATACCAAGTTTTTTTTCAAATAAGACACTGGATATAGCAATGCTAATTAAACAACTTGAGTGGAAATGAATAACTTACCCAATAAGCGAGATAAAAACCGAGCCTATTGGTTAGTACTTTTTCAAATAGTCGCGTTTTTTTTGTATCATAATTAGACAGCGGATTTCTGTCGGGCTATGTCACGATTATAGGTGGGGACGCGCTGGATCGCCGGGACTCAGTAGCGGGTGATAGATAGTCACTGAATTTAATCATCACTTATTCCATATATATATAATTAACAATTTATTAATCAAACGGCTAAATAAGTGAGAACGGGAATTAACAGCAGAGTGCAACGAAACAGCGCTATTCTAATCTCAAATAAACGAAGTGCAGCCCGTAACTTCATTGAATTCCCATCCCGTACGAGCCGTACCGAGTTTGGCCTTGCCTAGCCCGACAGAAATCCGCTCTCTAATCATAATCCACTAAACAGTGCTAAACTAAAGTGTAGTGAAAGTTAGGACGTGTTTCATTTGGCCAATTTTTCAATACTAAAAGTATACGAGTTATGCAGGATATGAGTATAAGTAGTAAGATTTCATACGCTTTTTAATATTGAGCCAACATATGTATTTATAGCTGTTAAATTTTAGGCTGGATTTGTGCATAAATTTACAAATTCAGTCTTTCGCAAATTTTAGTATTTAACAAAATACCAACAGTGTTCATGACCTCACAAACCGAAAACGCAATAACGTTGACATTATCTAGATAGAACTAAACTAAGTGCTATAGTATTACCGTGCACTTAACAAAGAATAGTATTTTAACAAAATAATCCTTTGAAATTAAGCAGATATTTGTTGAATTTAACTTACTAGACGCAATATTTTTCAAGTTAGGTGTTGTTTTACAAATTAGAAAATTTATTGGGGAATTTATAATATTACCCAATAAATTTTCTAAATTCCGATCAAAAAGAATTTCAATTATCAATTCTGCTATCTTTTTTTAACACATAACAAGGAAAGGAGGTGGCTTATCTTATCAGTTATCAATTTATAATACAGTGCAAAGTTCGAGACGAATATGTTGTGTCGAACATTATGTCCACGTGGATTTCACAACTATGAACTTTATCCTTGCGCAAATCAGTCCTTGTCTGAGCTTAATATTTCACTTTATCAAAACAATGAGACGTACTACTATGTAATCATTTGACGACTGAGGTGATACTTAAAATATATTGCCTGTTTAAATTGGTATTAAAGTGATATAAATCCGATTTGTTTATCTACAATTTTACGTTTTTAATCGGTGATAGTACCATGTTGATATAATTTATAGTAAATCTGGTTTCACAAAAAACGGGAAAAGATGAGCAAATCTGGTTCTCATAGATCAATGAAAAGCAATGAACAAATGACGTTCATGTCACTGTCATTTGTCCCGTTTTATTTGAAACCAGCTGTAGATACGACAATTACTCATTTACTAAATGTTTACTCTAAAATCAAGTATTTATAAAATTTGGGATATTGAGCTAAGATTTACTTCGCAATTACCTAATTATAGAAGGAATTTTCCACGATTTTCACTTTGACGATTTCATAACAGATAACACAGGTGTTTGTAGTAGTTACACCAATGTCAGTGGCTAGTCCTTCATGGTTTTGGAGTAAATAATTTGATGATAGATAGCAGTTATCGTATAGAGCATTCTTGAATCTTGGGAATAAATACCTCAAATTGTTGTAAAGTGTTGTTATGTTTGATCGCTGACTGAATCAACTGAATAATCCATCGTTCCCGAAAGTTACCTCAATTTAAACCCATACTCGTTCTAGATGTGCGGCGATCGGGATCTTTCTGTATTGCCGTTGGCAACTTCCTCTTCCAGGCTTTTCTCTAGCGAACGCCGCTTCGATCGCTGTTATTAACGATGAGTCATCATCGGCGTAGAGACCAGAAAGTTCTCGACGGCCCATAGCCGTCGTACCGGGGCAGCGTATGGGTTTGTTTCGTAACATAGCCCCCTCCTTAGTTCTGATCGTCCCGATCAGAAACGTCGACGGTGTCACTGTTGTACTTCATAAGGGGGTCTAAATGGACGACCTTCATTTTCGTCTTGGGTCCTCGTCGAATTCTGTAAATGACAGTATGCGGACCTTCCCAGTCTGATGACAACTTCGGGCAATGACCTTCTTCGTGGATTATAAAGCCATACCAAGTCCCCTGCCTGGAATCCTGAGTTACACTTAAGGTCGTAGCTTGTTTTCATTCTGTCACTTGCCACCCGGATCTTGTAGGGTACCGTTTCGTGAACGCTCAACAGCTTCCCTTTCAAGTCATCGACGTAATCTATAACCTCCTTTGGTTCTTCACTCGGAGAGCCGAACAAAATGTCACAAGGCAGACGAAGCTGTCTTCCTAAAGCTATCCACGCCGGTGTCTGACGCGTCGTGTCATGGAAAGCTGATCGATAAGCCAGTAGGAACAGTCTTTCTGATACTCGGCCACCACCTTCAAAGGATCTTCTTCCATGGTATGATTGAACCGTTCTACCATTCCATCTGACTGTGGGTGCAACGAGGTAGTCCGTGCCTTCCGTATTCCTAGTACTTCAGTAATCCTTTGGAATAGATTTGACTCGAAGTTTCCGCCTTGGTCTGAATGGAGTTCCATTGGGACCCCAAACCTGCTGATCCAATTGTCAATCAGCGTTGTTGCAACCGTCGTGGCTTCTTGGTTCCGTATTGCATAAGCTTCGGGCCATTCGCTGAAGTAATCGCTGACGACCATTATGTACTTATTCCCGTCGTCGGTCACCGGAAAAGGACCTGTTATGTCCACTGCAATTCTTTCGAAAAGCGAGCCGACGTTGTATTGTTGCATCGGCCCTCTTGCCCTAGTCCGCGGTCCCTTGACCACTGCACAGGTCGTACATTTCTTCCACCAGCTCTCAACGTCTTCCCGGCAACGGACCCAATAGAATCTCTCCCTCATTTTATAAAGCGTCTTGTTGATTCCAAAATGAACACCAGAACCCCCGTTGTGCATTTTTCGAAGTACTTCTTTGGTTCTAGTGGCCGGAACCACCAACTGCATTTTGGTATGTTTCTCATCTGGACTGTCCTGAGCTCGCTTAAGCAATCCGTTTTCGACACGCAGGGAGTCCCACTGACCCCATAACACTTTGAAAGAGGGTGACCCGTCTGATATTTCCGACCATGCTGGTCGTTCTGCTCCATCTGCTTTCCATTTGAGCAACGGCCCGATATCCACGTGTTCTGCTGCCCTCCCACAGTTGAACGACGTTTCACGCTACTCGATCTTGTCGCAGGGTTTGCAGCTCTTACACGGTCTTCTCGACAAAGAGTCCGCATTATTGTGGAGCTTACCAGCCCTCTGTCGAATTTTGAAGTGATAGTGTTGGAGTCGTTCAAGCCATCTAGCCACTTGTCCTTCGGGATTCTTCATCTGAAGAAGCCATGTGAAGGCTGCGCGATCGGTTCTAATCAGGAATTCGCGTCCATAGAGATACTTATGGAAATGTTCAACAGCCGTGACAATCACCCGCAACTTCTTCCTCGTAACACAGTAGTTCTTCTCGGGTTTTTAAAGTACGCTGCTGAAGTACTCAATGACTTTCTCTTGCTTGTTCTGCACCTGTGACAATACAGCACCCATTCCAATGTTGCTCGCGCCCGTGTCCAAGATGAACATTCCCGATGATTGAGGATAGGACAGAATAGTTAGGACTAGAGCATAGTGCGTTCTTCAATCTTTTAAAGGCTGCTTCACATTCAGCCTTTAAAACAGAGACTTCAAATCCGTCAGTCGGTGCAGAGGAGCAACAATATCAGCAAACCCGTTGACAAACCTTCTGTAGTAGGTGCACAATCCCAAGAAACTCCGTACTTCGTGTTTATCTCTTGCTCTTGGCCAATCGCGAATCGCATTGATCTTTGTTCCCGTAGTCTTGATCCCGTTTGCCTAAACAGTATGCCCCAGAAATTCTACTTCTTTTTGGAAGAGGAGGCACTTCTTCGGATTCAGCTTTAAATTTGCCTCCTTCATTCGGCTAAATACTTTTTCCAAGTTGGTCAAATGCTCTTCAAATGTCTTTCCTATTACCATGATGTCGTCTAAATAAACCAAACATGTTTTCCATGTTAGCCCTCGCAATACCATCTCCATTAGTCTCTCAAAAGTAGCCGGAGCATTATACAGTCCAAAAGACATTGCAGTAAATTGATACAAGCCACTCCCGGCAGAAAAACCGGTTTTTTCTTTTGGTCCTTCAGGCTTTTGGAGAAAATAATTTGATGATAGATAGCAGGTATAAGTGTATTGTAATGTTTGATCGGTGAATAAAATCAGCGTGGGTAAAATTAATCAATTTATTTCTTCATAACTTGAATTTACACGACTATGTACAAAATAATTCCGGCGCAACTGAATTCGTTCCCGAAGGTGACCTCTATTTAAACCCATACTTGTTCTAGATGTGCGGCGATCGGGACCTTTCCGGATTACCGTTCGCTTCCAGGCTTTCCTCTAGCGAACGTCGCTTCTATCGCTGTCGTTGACGATGAGTCATCGGCGTACAGACCAGAAAGTTTTCGACGGCCCATAGGCGTCGTACCGGGGGGGCGTATGGGTTTATTTCGTAACAATTTAGTACCGATGACATTTTTTAATAATACTAACTAAACAAATCGTGATATATTTTAAGATATTTACTTGTGTGTACAAACGTTTCAAAATCTAGTATGCAGAAAATGAAGAAAAGAGTAAATGAAGTAAGTAGTTATGAATTTCAAAACGTATCGGGTCGACCTGACAAAATAGAAGCGATTTGTAAAATATAATTGTGAAGTGGATTTTGACTTATTTCTAGTAGTTGAATACCTCGGTAACTCTGCTCAGTTTGATGCTTACAAAAAGGGTATTTATTTCTGAAAAACTATATAATGAAGAAGCAATTAAAGTAGACTAGAATTATTGAGATAAAGGCATGTTTTTAAATTCACGATTTTTAACAATAGGTACACATTGCCGCTCAGCCTCGCTTATAAGATTATCTAATTCGCTTTTATTGTCAACATGAATATTTTCAATTTTAGTTTGAATGATTTTACACAAACTGTACACCTCCTGGTATTCTTCAATTAAATTTAAAATACGCAAATTGTATTTAACGGCTTCGCAATACTGCAGTAAATATAGTTTTCGTTTTGAAAATGTGTCAAATGATTCGTCTTCTTTTTGATTCTTTTCAGCGTCGACAAGTGCATCTTTAATTTCGCTCTCGCTGTGTCTTCCTCTTGTATATCGAACAGTTAATTCCTTCGAGTTGTTGCTTCTTTGCTCTTTTGCCTTAACGTCCAATACGCCATTGTGGTCGATAGTGAAAGTAACCCAAACCTTACACTGGCCTGGAGGCGCCGGCGTAATATTTTCTAACAGAAGCGAGCCTAAGTAATAATTTTTCTTTATATTTAGACGCTCTCCTTCGAATATTTTAAACGTTATTGTTGTTTGCTCATGTTTTATCGTTTCAACACGTATGGACTTCCTTGTAGGTATAGGAGCGCCTTTTTTTATAACAAAATTCATTCGGTCAGGCCATACACCTATTCCAAGGGACAAAGGAACCACATCTGTTATAACTAATTTCTCGATTTTTTGTGTAACGTTTGTGGCCAACATGGCCGCCTGAAGAGCAGCGCCTTCCGCAATACATTCGTCGAGATGAACAAACTTTGTCAGAGTGTTTCTGGCAAAGAAGTCGAACAACATTTTTTGAACCTTCGGAATTCGACCGGAACCACCCGACAGTATCACATGTTCAATTTGTTTTTTTTTAATCTGAGAATTTTTGAGACATCTCTCGACAATGTTAATTGTTCTCTCAATTAAAGTATGTGCTTTTAGCTCAAACTCTTCCCTCTCCAGTTCTATCTCAATTTCCTGATCCGACACGAATCCATCCAAAATAATACTCGTTTCTTCGCCTACGGATAAATCAATTTTGGCATCTTCACAAATATTTTGCAGTCTGCACATTTTTCTCCTGTTTTGCTTAGGATCCCAGTCATAGTGCTCTGTTTTTTCACAAACGTAGTCAACGATAAGATTATCAAAATCTTTTCCTCCCAGTTGAGTGTTTCCATCCACGCATATAATATCGATATTGGTTGCTGTTCGTTTTAGGACGGATACGTCAAAAGTGCCACCCCCTAAGTCATAAACTAACGCATAACCATCGTTCGCGTCCTCTTTTTTAAAAAAATAACTTAAGGCCGCCGCTGTCGGTTCGTTAAACAGCTTTAAAACAGTAAAACCAGCTTCGTTGGCGGCCGCCAACGTAACTTCCCGTTGAGTTGTGTTAAAACAAGCAGGGACGGTGATAACAGCTTTCTCGACTTTGTGACCAAATTTATCTTCCACATCTTTTTTTACTCTTTTCAAAATTAAAGAACTAATTTCTTGGGGAGTTAGTTCTTGCGTGTAGTTGTCGCGTTCGATTTTAATGACAGGACTGCCTAATTTGTTTTCAACATTGAACGTGAAGTACTTCAAAGTTTCTTCTATGGCGTTGAAACTTTTACCAAGGAATCGTTTAGTTTCTAAAATTAAAAATTTGAATTTGTATCCTAGATACTTGTAATACTTGAAATGTTACCATAAATTCCATTAGGTGGCAACGTGTGTACCATTCTTTTTGCACACTGACCAACGATGGGTGGTAAGGCAGAATTTTTCATGAAAAATACCCAAGACGGTGTAAGTCTTCCTCCTTCGGAATTTTCCAAAATTTCCACCATACCGTTGCGATAACAAGCAACACAAGTGTTTGTCGTACCTAAATCGATGCCAATAACTAAGTCGTCCATGGTTTTGTTTAAGGAAATTTACACACTTTTATACCGCAAAACATTGAGTAGTAAAGGTGTTCACCATTTTCTAATAGAGTAATTGAAATCACTATGATCAATAAATTAATGTAATCAGTTACTAGATAGTTTCTAACAACAGTTATCTTATCAATTTACTGGATGTTAAGAATAAGCATATCTTTTTTTAAATCTATTTTGACATTGTTTCAAGTGACTTTTTCATAACGAAATTTTGTGATGTGCTTACCATTTTGGAATAAAATTATTTGATGTTACGTCTCGAACCTATGAAACATTGGATGCTTTTCTCACTTTCTAAAGTAGAAACCAAACGCCTTTTATTGAAGTCTGACTTTTATAACATTGAAGAATCTTCTTGTTTAATTGTGAAGAATTATTCTGAATTAATTTCATGTACTTATTGATATTTCATGACTTCTATAAATACTCCTATTTATGTATTAGCACTTAAGTAAATGTATCTTTATCGTTATCTTTATGTGAATTAATGACGTAGTTGTTTTAACTTTTTACTTTAGTGAATAGAGTACTCCACATATTATAACTGTTAGATTTCTTTTCGTAAAAAAATTGAGTAAAGTAAAAAGTAAATTTTCAAAAATATAACGGTATAGCCTAACTTTATTTTTGGTTTTTAAGAATAAAATTGCTGTGTTAAAAAATTAGGCTGCGGCTGACCAATCAATTGGAAAAATACGTCTTATCTACGTTTGACATCTCACTCTAACAGAACATTAGAAATTACAAAAAATTGGTCGTTCCACACCTGACGTGATAAGAAAAAAAGTTACATATATCAGTTGTTTTAATCAAGAATTTATGAATTTCTGTACGACAATTACTGAATCGCCAAATATTTACTGTAACATCGGGCATTTGTCAAGGTTGAGGGCAGTTTTATCCGATCCATTATAGAACTCTTTAAATTTTCAGTTTTGAATCAGACTTTTGGACTTCTTTTTACTCATTAAATTTTTTAATTCCGCTATTTATTATTGAAAATCAACACAATATTACTTTATTACTTAGAAATATTAAGTAAAGAATAAACAAGAAAATATAATTAAAATAATGTATCTAAGACAACAATGGACGTACGGGCATGTTTTTAAACTTGCAAGATTTAACAACAAATGCACATTGATTCTCAACTTCACGAATGAGATACTCTAATTCATCTTTGTCGTCGACATCCATGGTTTTACCTTTGGTTTGAATGTTTTCACACAAACGGTAGACATCTTGATGTTTTTCGATTATGTTTAAAGTGCCCAGATTGTATTTAACCCCTTCGCAATACTGAAGTAAATATAATTTTTGTTTTGAAAATACGTCAAACAACTCGTCTTCCTCTCTATTCCGTTCAGCATCCTTAAGAGTATCTTCAATTTCACTTTCACTTCGTCCTCCTCTTGTGTATTTAACATTTAATCTCTTCATATTGTTGTTTATCTGTTCCGTTGCCTTAACTTCCAGGACACCATTGTGGTCAATACTGAAAGTAATTGAAAGCTTACATTGGCCTGGAGGCGCCGGAGTAATATTTTCTAACTCTAGTGAACCTAAGTAGCGATTTTTCTTTATAATCAGACGCTCACCTTCATAAATTTCAAAATTTGCTGTTTTCTGCTGATTTTGTGAGGTCAAAACACGTATGGTATTAGTTGTAGGAATAGGAGCGTCTTTTTTTATAACAAAACGCATTCTGTCAACCCAAAGCCCTATTCCAAGGGACAAAGGAACTACCTCGGTCATCGCTAATTTCTTGATTTTTTGCGTATTATTGTCGGTTAACATAGCCGCCTGAAGAGCAGCTCCTTCTGCAACACACTCGTCGAGGTTATTAAACTTGCTGAGAGTTTTTCCGTCAAAATATTTAGATAACTCTTTTTGAATTATCGGTATCCGACTGGAACCACCTGAGAGAATCACGTGTTGAATTTGATTTTTTGGAATCTGAGACTCGTTAAGGCATTTGTTGACGATGTTTATCGTTCTCTTAATCAATTCGTGTGCTTTTAGTTCAAAGTCTTTCCTTTTCAACTTTACTTCTATCGCTTCAGAGTTCGGTATGAATCCGTCCAAAATAATACTAGTTTCTTCTCCAGTAGATAAATTTTTTTTGGCATCTTCACACTTCTCTTGTAGTCTTCGCATTTGTCTCAAGTTTTGCCTAGGATTATAATTATATTCTTCCATTTTTTCACAAACATAATCAAAAATGAGCTTGTCAAAATCGTTTCCTCCCAGTTCAGTATCGCCATCCACGCAAATAACGTCGATGTTTGTTGCAGTTCGTTTTAGTATGGATACGTCAAAAGTGCTACCACCTAAGTCATAAACTAACGCATAACAATCATTCTCGTCGTCTTTTTTAAAAAAATAACTTAAGGCTGCCGCCGTCGGTTCGTTAAACAGCTTCAAAACAGTAAAACCAGCTTGGTTGGCAGCCGCCAAAGTAACTTCCCGTTGAGTTGTATTAAAACAAGCTGGGACAGTAATAACAGCTTTGTCGATCTTGTCACCCAATTTATCTTCCACGTCTTTTTTTATTTTTTTCAAAATTAAAGAGCTAATTTCTTGCGGAGTCAATTCTAGCGTGTCGTTATCTCGTTCTATTCTGATTACAGGACTATCTAACTTATTTTCAACGTTGAACGAGAAGTGCTGCAAATGTGGTTCCATAGCGTTGAAACTTTTACCCACAAATCGCTTAGTTTCTAAAACAAAATTTTGAAATTTTCACACAGAGAACTATTGAAATGTTACCATAAATTCCGTTAGATGGTATCTTATCTCCCATTCTTTTTGCACGCTGACCTACGATTGGTGGTGAAGTAGACTTTTTCGGGAAAAATACATAAGACGGTGTAAGTCTTTTCCCTTCGGAATTTTCCAAAATTTCCACCTTGCCGTTCGCATAATAGGCAACACAAGTGTTCGTCGTACCTAAGTCGATGCCAATAACTTGGTTCTGCTGTGTAGATCTTCCTCCTTTGGGATTTTCCAAAATTTCCACCTCGCCGTTCATGTATTGGGCAACATAAGTGTTCGTCGTAGCTAAGTCGGTGCCAATGACGTGGTCTTGCTGTGTACCTGGATCTTCCATGGTTTTACAGGAATAAAGTGACACACGTATAAACAATAACACAGCTTGGTAGTTAAGATAGTATTTTTATAAATTTCAAATGGAATCATTGAAATATTTATCCCTGTCATCAATGAATGTAATTATTTGATAATTTGATAACAGTGGTTATCTTATCAATTCTTTGGATCTTGGAAATCAGTATATTGTTTTTAAGTGTATTTCACATTGTTTCGATTACTGAGTTTTCGGGACTGGAACTATTGTCATTCGGTGGCCATCTGAAAATAAGGGTGCATTCATTTTTATTATTTACCCCGATATCAGCTGACGAAAATTTTGTAAGAAGAATTTATGCAGTTTATATAATTATTTGCAACTTTTATTATTATTACTTACTCGAAGTACTGTTAATAATAGAAAAGTTATGAACAGGAAAAAAGAAAAACAAACAGATGAAAAACGTTTCAGTCATACAAAATAATTGCATTTAAAGCAAAACATTCTGGAAAATTTTGAACGAAAAGCGAAATTAATATGCATTCAAAAAAACGTCAACAATTCTTCATTAATTAGTAATTTCAGCAAATATTTTCTAAGTTTTTATTACATCTCCAAATTGTAACATATATACTAAGGATCCTCGTAAGCTTTCTATCAAGAAATACCTCGCTGTCTATAAACTCCAACAGGACTTTTTGTTGTGGTCAGTGAGGACTTTATGGGAATCTAAAAAAAAATGTGCAGTGTTGAGGAGACGGAAAGAAAATGGTAAAATTTTGTAGGAAAGTATCGATTTTGCAATTAGGCTCCGGATTTTTTTTTGTTTCTTGTAGAGAAATAAGGATTTTGCATTTAAGCTCCGTCCCCTTGACTCACGACGAATGAAAAAAATCACCAGAATTGAGATAGGGCGAGTGGTCGGGGCTTATATTTCGCCTTTTTTTTTCTTAATATATACACATAGCCGTCTTTTCACACCAAAAAACTTAATATATGATTAAAATGGTACATTTTTGCAAGGAATTATAGATTTTGCATTTCCATTTTAAACATGTTTTAAGTTTCATGTTGTGAAAAGAAGTCTACACATATTAAAATGAAACGGCAAAATATATATTTTTCCCTTTTTTCTTAATATGCAAAGTCTTCTTTTCACGACAACTAACTTAAAACATTTTCAAAATGGTAAATTTTTGCAAGGAAATCTGGATTTTGCAATTATGCTCCGCCTCTCGGTCTCACAACGAATGAAAAATTCTCCACAATAGAGATTGGGACGAATATAGGTGGGGCTTAACCTTTGGCTTTCTTTTTTACACAATACACACAGCTTTCTTTAAACAATATAATTACATAAGAACATGTTTTACAGGATATTTTTTTTTTGAAAAGTAAGGATTTTGCAATTAAGCTCCGCCCTCAAGCTCACTACGAATGAAAAAAATCATCGCAATTGAGATAGGGCGGGTGGGCGGGGCTTATATTTTTCCCTTTTTTCTTAATATGCAAAGTCTTCTTTTCACGACAAGTAACTTAAAACATTTTCAAAATGGTAAATTTTTTGTATGTATTTAAACTTTAATCGTATTTTATTTACGGGTCAGTGCTTCTCCAGGACTTCGGCTACAACTGTACCTGACATCGGTGCGGATTTGCTCGAAATAAAAAGACGTCATCAACAGGACTCCATTGACAACGAGATAGTTAGCAACGGCAACGCGAGTGTTAACATCACTGTACTAAAACGGTTACATTTCACAAAAGGGATGATGATGACTGATGACTCTTGTCCTGTTAATTTACTCTAGTAATACAAGTAATACAGTTTAGCAATTCTTGGTCAGCAAACTGACGATACAAAACTATTCAAATTTTACTATAAATAAATATTGTGATAAAATGTTCTGTTCAATTGTCTGTCTTATTACTTTTTTAATACCATCGAAGTGGTAGAAAAAATGTAATGCCCAAATTTTATGCACATTTTCTTTGGGACAGTTTTAACGCTCACAGGATGTCACTACGTTTTATCGTAACTTTTGAAACTTATGGATAACACAGTTGAAAGTCAACTCTGTAGTCTCTAAGATTTCATTATTGCAATCATCAAGCATGTAGGTAAAAGGTCTGACTCACGTAATTAATTAACACTCTTGCAACGAGATTAAATCGCCGCCCCCCTACATCTCTAATCATGTTATCTTAAGAAGACAATAGAAAGTAGGTTCCCTCTTCGCACGTTCGTCGTTAATGAACATTTCCATTGTAAATTATCAGTATTACATGCAGAGAAATGTAACGTTTGTATGTAAATAACGATGAGAAACTCGTTCTAGAGCAACCGGAAGAAATCTGTTACTCATCGCAATAATTTCGCGAAAAATGGAGACGTACGGTAGAAAAGCATGAGTGATGACTTCATAAATTAGTTGTATAGTCAACCAGAAGCCGAAGGAAGTTGTTTTTAAAAGTGCGCGATTTATGTGTTTGCGTTAGATAAAGACGAATAGTTTTACTTTCCGCAACTATTTATGTCTGATCAGGATGAATAACCATAGTTCAAATTTGCGGAGCTGCTCACACAGGTTGTTTATTTGTTTTTGAAATTTTTGCGGCGTATGTTCGATAACCGTATCGGGAGAGGAAGACGAAGCGGTCGCTTTTCGAAATTACCATAAGAGGATAATGAATGAGGCAGGTTTTGGAGCAGGGACAAGTTGACCGACCGGATGTTCGCTTCCGTTCACAGAATATCACCTTGCAAATATAGCCGAGGTCTGGGTCGGTGGTCGACATCGGCTTCTTATCTTGGAGGAGGAGCAGGAAGAGAGTAAACAGGCCTTCAGCGTTGAAGCACGGACTGGGTCGGATATATAGGCAACACAAAATACAACGGTACGACAGGCAAATATTTTCAAGTTTCAAGATGAACGTGGGGACGGACGTGGGTGTTTTGTTACGTTTCTTGACCGATTTCTTGATTGTATCATTAAAATATTTTCAAAAATTAGGTGTCTACTTTTTTAAAATTTCTTTGAATATGATATTTTTTTAAGAATATGATCGTAGGTACATGCGGCTGGCAATATTTTTTGCCCCTACTTATCGGAGAGAACACTATGTACTACACCATATTTTTATGTGAGAACACTATGTACTACACCATATTTTTATGTGCGTTTTTAATAATAATCCTACATTAAAAAAGTTATCAAGTTACCTTGTCTATTAAATATTTCGCAAGATATACCTATGGGGTATCTATATTTACAACTAATAAGTTGATAACTGCTTTAATTCGTTTAAGGCTTCTTCCTTTGTTCTATGACCTAGCTTTCTTAGATCTTATAAATTTTAAATTTTGCTACGCTTTGAATTGGTGTCATTTTTTTATTACAATCTTTATAGTGAATTTCATGTTGTTGAAGAGACACATGGGATTGGGAGATTGGGACTGACATTGTTTTCTGTAACTTCTCTCTTTATTATACTTTTCAGATTAGTACAATTTTTTTGTTTGTATATATTTACCTAAGTATAATAATAATAATAATAAATATTTATTTGCCCAACAGAACGATGAGTTCCAATTACAGGACAAATTCTAAAAACTAACACTAATCATAATCTATCAATCGATACACAATTACAAGACATGCTGTAATAACAGCTAAATAAACATATAATGCCATAAACGTTTAAAATACGTCTATAAATTTAAACTTATGCAAATCGCTGTTTTTAGTTCCTTTATTGTGCAGCTGAAGTTGTCACAGCGGCTACTTCTTTCCACTTTATTACAAGTATGCCATGTTTATATAATCTTGGAGTCAAAATAATTATTTTTGAAATAACAAGAAAACTACAAGATCAATGGCTATCATATGAACCATTTTTCAATTACATAATTTGAAGAGAAATTGTATTATCTTAAAAGTGTCAAACATCTTTTTTCTCTTTTCTCTTGCTACATGAAGGTTTGGGTCTGCGACCTAGTACCTTCTGACGTTTCGTAATGTGTGGAATCCCATTATTATAAGTGTTCCAAAAAACGCATCCCGTTCTCTTATACTTAAATTCAACGCTTTTCCGTGTTGTTTGGTGTAATTGTTGGATTCTTCGATAATACGGTTTTTTATATTATAGTGGAAGAAATAATGAACATCGCTATAGATATAGGGGAACCAATATCCACATTTATTTTGGTCCAAAATGCTTAGAATAATTTACCGATTCAAATAATTTTGAATTTTATGCTGAGTCTGAACACCAACTGTAAGTTTTTTCTTCGTAATGAATGTTATTGCCACCATCAATGTCTGAAAATTCAGCTAGTTTTCTCGGTAAATTTAAAATGCGGTTCATCTAAGAACCGGATGGTGTTAAGTGAAGTTCCTACTGCAATAAACCCAATTTATCATGCAAACTGTATTAAAAATTGAACCTAAAGAATCTGAAGAAAAAGTGCTGCATATATTGACCCCAGACCGATATTTAGATGATTTCAAATTATTTTCGATCAGGTTTTTTCAAGAAGTATATGTCGGAAACGATGTAACAAATAAAGTACAATCTAAGCGGTAAACAATTTGACAGTCAACGAGTTCGAGCATTCCTCAAACAATGTGGTCGCGAATGGCAACCAAGAAGTTGCAAGCCGACAGTGTGAAAATAAGTTTGAATCGCACTTTATTATCTGAAATTACAAATTAGTGTAACTGTTTGGACAAAAAATTTTGACATTAATAACCTGTAGTCATAAAAAACTAACGCCGTGTAAAATTACTCACAACCTCTTCTCAGATTTAAAACCCCGTCACAGGATTTGCAATATCAACTAAAAATGAGATATTATTGTCTGGAGAACCATTGTCGACACCCATGGCGTAACTGGGAGGGAGTTTAGGCGACTGCAGTGAGGATACAAAATTTTTAAAAATTTAAAATCTGTTTGATAAAAAAGCAAGCAGTGTTTACGAGTTATTTCGTTATGAACAACCTAATTTCTTGTGGTTCTTACGTTTGATAATATTATCAAATTTGATAATAATTTGTTAAAA